CCCGTCCTATCAAGTCATGATGCATACAGAAAGAGAGTCTCGTAGGCCTGCATGGTCAATGTAGGAATGCAGGATCACATGTGAAAAGGAGATTCCTTCATTGTCTCGTCTAATCAAACATGCTGCATGTCATTGATTGTGAAGCATGCGTGACAAGTGAAAGGCAGAGATTTCTGATGCGGTATCACATGTGAAAGCAGAACTTTGCATTGTCACGTCTTATCAAGTGTTATGTTCATTGTCATGTCATTGATTGCATATCAAGGCTTTGTGTTTCACATTTTTCCGTTGTTGATTTTTTAGGTTGATTTTTTCATATTATGTTTTTTTCTTATTTTGTTTTTTCATATTATGGGTCATATTTTGTTTTTTTGCATATTATGTTTTTTTAAACGTAGTGTGATTTTTTCATATTATGTTTTTTTCTTAATTAAAGACTTATTGTTTTTTTTATGGATGATAGGTTCTGATAGTTGCAAACGTATGCATGACTTGTGTCCTGATGCATATCATTGATTCTTGATGTGTGTCATTGATTGTGAAGCATGCGTGACAAGTGAAAGGCAGAGATTCCTGATGCGGTATCACATGTCAAAGCAGAACTTTTCATTGTCACGTCTTATCAAGTGTTCTGTTCATTGTCATGTCATTGATTGTGGAGCACGCGTGACAAGTGTCCTGCATGCATGGTCATATGGTCATTGATTCATGTGAAAAAAATCTTTACTGATACATGTGAAAATTACAAAGTTCAATTGCTGATACATGTAAAAAAATCTTTAAACTCTTTAAACAATCAAACACTCAGCCCATTTTATAAAGCCATTAAACTCTTTAAATAATCAAACACTCAGACGCTCAAACACTCAGACACTCAGACGCTCAAACACTCAGACACTCAGACACTCAAACACTCAAACACTCAAACATTCAAACACTCAAACACTCAAACACCACAATTTTCGCTATGTCTCAAACACCACAATTTTCGCTATGTCTCAAACACCACAATATGTGATTTCCGCTCGTCTGAGCGGTGAAGTTTTCGAATGTGAAGTGTCGGGATACAATTTCAGAAACACGGATGTTACAAAATTTTTAATTGACAGAAGGTCTAATTTTTTACACCTGAAGTCAAGAATAGAAAAAAAACTGCAATGTGGTCCAGTTGGGCAAATAATATACAAAAACCCAGTATTTTGTGGCGGACCTGATTCATGCAAATTTTTCCCTTTAAAGGTGCGAGACGATGAAGACGTGCGTAACATGTTCTGCAGTCACGAGTATTATGGGTTCTCAGATATCGTGTTATATGTTACGTTACAACAACAACAACTGTCTCAGCAACTTGATTCGTCTCAAGTTTTTTGCGATGAGGAAGATGAACACCCTGAAGTCGATGTCGTTGACAAAGAAGAAGAAGCAACTGAAGTCATTGTTGACGAGATGGTGAACAATCCAGAGGATGAAGTTCAACCTGTCAATGTATATTGTCCACCTCAACACATGACTACTATCGCCTTAGGTGATGATGAACCCTCGGGGGATGTTTTCTACAACCTCAACTACACAACAGGGGGGCAACTAAAAGAGGGTGACGAGTTTGGTAAGAAAGAAGATTATGTCCGGGCTATCAAACAGTTTCACATGGAGTTGTCAGCCGACTACAAAGTCAATCGGACAAATCCGACGCGGTATACGATCTATTGTCGTAACGAGGAGTGCCCATTCCGATTAACAGCATCTTTCAGGAAGAGAAGCGATTCCTGGAAGGTAGGGTCAATGGGTCCGTCCCACAGTTGTATAATCTCGAATCCGATGCAAGACCATCGCAAACTCAGCTCTAAATTGATTTGCGATGAGATTCTGTCAGTTGTTAGCGACAACCCATCTTTGAAGGTGAGTACCATAATTGCACATTTGGTACAAAGGTACAACTACACTCCTTCGTACCGAAAAGCCTGGATTTCCAGGACTAAAGCGGTTGAAAGGGTGTTTGGAAATTGGGAGGAGTCATACAAGGAACTTCCTAAATTCCTGGTGGCCCTTAAACACTACTCTCCAGGAACTGTTACGATATTGGAGACGATGCCTGCTTGTACACTAGACGGGACTTGTGTTGGTGGAAATGGAATTTTCCACATAGTCTTTTGGGCGTTCGAACCATGCATCAAAGGGTTTGCATTTTGTAAACCTATAATTCAAATTGACATAACATGGTTATACGGGAAATATAAGGGCACACTTCTCATGGCTGTGGCACAGAATGGGAACAACAACATTTTTCCAATAGCCTTCGCCATAGTAGAAGGGGAGACTGCTGGGGGTTGGAGTTTTTTCTTAAAAAACCTCCGCTCTTACGTGTCTCCACAACCTAACTTATGTTTGATCTCCAATCGACACCCATCCATCAAGAGTGCATACAGCAACCATGATAACGGTTGGCAGGATCCTCCCTCGACCCACGTCTATTGCATAAGGCATATTGCCCAAAATTTCATGCGGGAAATCAAGGACAGGACGCTGCGAAAGAAGGTTGTGAACGCGGGATATGCACTAACTGAACCCACATTCAGATACTACCGGGGCGAGATCAGACTGAACAACGCAGACGCATTAAGATGGATTGACATCATTGATAGGGAGAAATGGACGCGGGCATACGACAATGGGGTGCGATGGGGCCAAATGACAACTAACCTCGTCGAGTCAATGAATTCTGTTTTCAAGGGAATCTGAAACCTCCCAATAACTGCCTTGGTAAAGGCAACCTATTTTAGGCTAGGATCACTCTTTGATAGCAGACGTACGAAGTGGGGTTCGGTATTACAATCGGGCCAGCTGTATAGTGATACTTCAATGAAATTCATGAAAGAGGAAGCTGCCAAAGCCAACACACACGTGGTCACAATTTTTGACCGTACCAATGGTTGGTTCAGTGTTGCCGAGTCTATGGATCACAACGAAGGAAGGCCTAGGAGATGTTACCGTGTTGAATTGGATAAGAGCTGGTATGATTGTGGAAAGTTTCAAGCATTTTGTATGTCGTGCTCTCATGTCATAGCAGCATGTTCCAAGTTGCGCCAGGACCCAACCAACCTTCTTTCTGCAGTTCACCAAGTCATTAGTCTATGCAATGTCTACACATGCAGCTTTTAAGTCGTGGCAAAGGAGGACTATTGGCCTGAATACGAAGGCGAAATTGTTTGGCATAATGACTTGATGCGCAGACAGAAGAAGGGTCGGCCTAACAACACGCGCATTCAAACTGAGATGGATACCGCAGACAAGCTGATGATATTGTGTAGTTCGTGTCGGCAACCAGGACACAATCGAACAAAATGTCCTAACGTAGGATCAAGCAGCAGATCATAGTTTCATATTTAATCTTGTCCCGTTAAATCAATATCAAATTCCATTCGATTAATAGCAACTTTTATAAGATTAATAGCAAATTTCATTCGAATAATACCAGGTTTCAATCAATTAAAACCATAGTTAACTGACACAACAACAACATGACAACAGAACACTGCACGAAGGTAACATAAATTAAACAAACATAACAACAACGTAAATACCTAAAACAGAACACTGCACCAAAGCGTCTACGATATCACGACCATCAACTTTATCTTCTTGGGTGTCAACATCATCACAAGGACACCGACATCATTTTCCACTTTTCTCCATTCACGAGTAACTCCGTTTCTCCCGGTCTCCTCGACCAGCCTCTCGATTTTCCTAATCTTTTCTCCTGGACCAATGTCTCCTTCTAGCCAGCGGTTCAGTTCCCTGTGCAAGTGCTCCAACGTCTGCGTATTCCAGAGGAGCACCTTCATCGGAGGCTTTGTTGGTGAAAACACAACTAGGGCATTTCTTTTCATTAGATCGAACGTTGGAAAAGGTTCCTCCGATGCTGATGACGACGACGAAGAACGTTGATTTAGAAATGCAGACATTCTAGACTCCACTCAACTCGAACTCCACTCAACTCGAACTACACTAACACTTTAGTCTTTTGGGATATAATGTTGTGAAAACATATATGTGTTTGCGGTCGTATTTATAGTAAAAAAAATAATACGTACCCTATATGATATGACTTAAATAACCATACAACATTTATACACTCAAAATTTGCTCAACACTATATTTTTATTTTGTATTTAAACCAGTTTAAGTTTTTTGTTTATTAAACATAAATTTATTAAATTCATTTGAAATTATTTTTATTTAAACCTAATTATTGTAAGTTTTTTAATTAAAAAATAAATTTTAACATTAAATCACATTATTTTAAATTTATTAATTCAAAAATTAATTTAAACATTTAAATATAATTTTTTAAAGTTTATTAATAATATTTATGTTTAAAAAAATAATAATAATTAAAAATATATAAAAAAAATTTATTTTTATTTATTTAAAACATTAAATAAAATTTAAAAAATAATCAAAATATAAAACCAAAAATGATGAAAAGCGAAACCCTAAACCCTGACCTCATTCGCCATTCTGGTTGGGGAAGGGATTTCTAATTGACCTCATTCGTCATTTTATCTGGCGAATTTCCTTTCTCTATAATATATGGCGAATTTCCTTTATTTAAAATATTTATTTTTTTGTATTAAAGTAACACAAAATAAATTAGTATTAACTTGTTGTGCTGTATATGATACGGTACAGGTGTCACAAATCTCCATCTTTTCGTTTTTCTAAACTATAATAACAACATTGTTTATGTGAAATAACTAATCTATGTGAAACACGCACTAACATCCATTACTCATGGAGCCCGCCATTGATTATTATATCATATATACACGTTCTCGCAATGCATGCCCTAGCCACGTTACAAACAATACTCCATCACTGCTATTTTATTTATTCCCTTTAAAACCCAATCCAATCAAGAGTTCTTCTCCTCCTTCAACACAACCTCTTTCTAATATCTTTTGACCAAACAAAAAACACCTTGACAACCAACGGCAACAACAATGGCTTCATCATCAGAAACCTTGTCTAAAAATCTCCCTTTGAAACCAATCCCAGGAAGCTACGGTCTTCCCATCATCGGACCCATGCACGACAGACACGACTACTTTTACAACCAAGGACGCGACGAATACTTTGCGTCAAGAGTCAAGAAATACAACTCCACTGTCATCAGAGTCAACATGCCACCAGGTGGTTTCATCGCACCTGATCCTAAAGTCATCGCTCTCCTCGACGGTGTTTCCTTCCCTATCCTTTTGGATAACGCGAAAGTCGAAAAACGTGACGTCCTCGATGGAACTTTCATGCCTTCCACTAACTTCTTCGGCGGCTACCGCACCTGCGCCTTTCAAGACACCGCAGAACCTTCCCATAGTCTCCTCAAACGGTTAATCTTTTTTATCCTATCCTCAAAACACAACACCTTTATACCTCTCTTCATTACCAACCTCTCTGAACATTTTACCGATCTCGAAAAAGAACTCTCCAAACAGGGTAAAGCAAACTTCAACTCCTCCGTCGGAGTCGCCTGTTTCAACTTCCTCTTCAAGTTCATCACAGACAAAAACCCTACCGAAACAAAAATCGGTGACTCCGGGCCAACGCTTGTCCAAGTATGGCTTGCAGCTCAGCTTGCACCGTTGGCCACAGCTGGTCTTCCGAAAATATTCAACTACATCGAAGATGTTCTCATCAGAACCCTTCCGATCCCAGCGTGGACTGTGAAATCCAGTTACAACAAGCTTTACGACGGTATAATGGAAGCAGGAACATCAGTTTTAGACGAAGCTGAAAAGATGGGAATAAAAAGAGAAGAAGCTTGTCACAACCTAGTTTTCACTCTAGGTTTCAACGCTTTCGGTGGTTTAACGAACCAGTTTCCGATCCTGCTAAAATGGGTCGGGTTAGGTGGTGCGAGTTTACACAAGAAACTTTCCGACGAAATCAGAACCGTTGTTAAGGAAGAAAACGGTGTCAATTTCAGATCGTTGGATAGGTTGACTTTGACTAAATCAGTGGTCTACGAAACGATGAGGATTGAACCTGCTGTACCGTATCAATACGCGAAAGCGAGGGAGGATCTGGTGGTGCAGAGTCACGATGCGTCTTTCGAGATCAAGAAAGGGGAGATGATCTTTGGATATCAACCGTTCGCTACTAAAGATCCTAAGATATTTGAGAAACCTGAAGAGTTTGTTGCGGATAGGTTTGTTGGTGATGGAGAGAAGATGTTGAGACACGTGTTCTGGTCCAATGGACGTGAGACTGATGAGCCTACACCTGATGATAAAATGTGTCCGGCTAAGGATCTGGTGGAGCTCCTGTGTAGGGTGTATTTGGTGGAATTCTTCTTGCGTTACGATACTTTTACCTTTGATTTTAAACCGTCGGTTTTGGGTCCAAGTATTACTATCAAGTCACTCACCAAGGCTTCCTCCACCGTCTGATCAGTGATCATTGATCATTGATCCGCACTGAATCTACGCGCCTTTTCGTACGTTTGAGTTTTTATTTTTATTTTTTAATTTCAATGTTGATTATGCATGATTAAATAAAGTTCTTATTTTATTGCTATTATTGAAACGATAGCTTCTGGGTGGGAACTCTAATGATGCATTTGGAAAGAAGCATCAAGGATCGTTGGTTGTGTTCAATTTATTTATTGCCTTGTGTGTGCATTAGCAATATTTAATGTTTACCTACTGCCAGTAATATTTTGCAAAGTGATATGTTTAAATATGTACTCTATATTATGATATGATTCAACGTTTATATATTTATTGTACTATGTGCAGAGCATAGGAGGAAAACCAAGTGCTTTTTCTTTTGAGACTAGGATCATAACAATTAGCTCGAATGAACTAACGATTTCCATTGGTAGTTAGTAATTATACTATATTTGTTATATTTGTTATGTGTTGTTGCAACTTCTAGGTTGTAAAATGTTAAAAGTACTATTTCGACTACGAATAGATAAAATGTTGAATTTATAAAAAGAAAAAAATATTTTTACCTAATATTTTAAGATTTTAGATGGAGATGTGATGTCTTTCTTTCTCTTATAATTTTGAAGCATTGAGTACATTAATACTCTTGTCTTTCTCAGACCTTTTAACAGTGATATTGTTAGAAACTATCTTAATAGAATAAGATTCAATCACTTTCTTGATTGATCCAAGATTCTTGTTCTTTATTCTTCACTCGAGTGATTCAACTTCACCTTGGTTGCAAGACGATTCTCTCGCACAATGACTTGAGATGAAAGAAATTTTTGAAATAATGAGAGAGAGAGAGAGAGAGAGAGAGAGAGAGAGAGAGAGAGAGTGAGTGAGTTATTGAAGTGAAAGGAGGAAAGTTTTATTGATTAATATTTTCAATAATGAGTTTCCCTCCATCTATATTGTATTTTTCAAATGCAGGGTAACTCCCTATTTATAATAAGATTTCTTGCACATCACACAATCTCAAACTAACTAACTAACTAACTAACTTCAACAATTTGTTATTCGACTTGTCGAATGCATGCTGCTTCAACTACGACTAGTTGTATTCAACTTTTTATCGAGTACATGCACCTTTGTCTACTATAAGTTGTATTCAACCTTATGTAGAATACATGCATATTTAAACTTATGTCGAATACATGCATATTCAACTATTATAAACTATATTCGACTACGTTCGACTTCGACTATTCAAATCTTGCATCTTACAAACATGCTTAACACAAAGAATTACATATTTAACGCACCATCTAATTCATTGTGTCTAATCTATCTACATTCATCATAGTTCTCAATTTCTTGAACAATTTCACATGCATAGCCTTTGTCATGATGCCTGCAATCTGATTCTCAATTCTGCAGTGTTCCAAGTTCAGTTTTCCATTTGCTACTTGCTCTCTATGATAATGGAATCTCATCTCAATGTGTTTGCTTCTTCCATGTGCTATTGGATTATTGGTCAAATTGATAGAAGATATGTTATCAATCTTTATGACCATTGCTACATGATTTTCACCTGCAATCTCTTCAATTTGATTCACCATCCATGTTGATTGACATGCACAAATGGAGGAAACTATGTACTCATCCTCACATGATGATAGTCTTATAACTGCTTCTTTTCTCGAGCTCCAAGCAACTGGTGCACCACCTAACAAAATACATAACCACATGTGGATTTTCAATCCTCAGCATCACCACACCAACTTGACTCAGTGTACCTCACTAGTTTGCATTCATTTCTTTCATCTACTATAGGAAAAAAAGCCATAATCGTTTTTCTTTGAGATACCTTAGTATCCTCTTGGTGGTTGTAAGATAGAACACCTTTGGCTTATGCATGAACCTACTCACCATGCGTACTATGTATGCTAGATCATGCCTTATGTGATAGAGGTATCTTAACGATACAATGAGTCTTCTATATTGAGTATTCAAGGAAATCACTAGCATAATGACCATGTTTCTGACAATTGAAGCACTGAATATGACTCTTCTCAGGTTTCCTTCCACCGCCTCTTCCTTTACCCACACCACCACCTCCGTGGTTGCTTTAGTTTGTGGGTTGTCTTTGATTCGAAAAATTTCCTTCTTGTCGGTGACTCCTGCCATTTGAGTTGTTGTAACCTCTTTTACCTTTGTTGTTGTTCCACTATCCTTTGTCATACTTTTCTTTTGCGGATTGTGCCTACAGGGCTACATCACTTTTCGTCTTGCTTGCAAATCTTTTAACAATTCTTTGTTCATGAGATTCAAGCGTTCCTTAAAGATCTTACTTTTTCATGCTTGAAAAATCCTTCGATACTTCTATGGCTACTACCACACGATCGATTTTGGAAGAAATAACCTCAAAATATTTGCAACTATCGATCTTGGTGTCAGTACTTCTCCACACATCTTGATTTGATTCACTAGTCTTGTTACTCTAGTGAGGAAATCATCCATAATTTCACTTTCTTCCATTTGAAGCAACTCATATGTTCTTCTATGAATTTGTAATCTCACTTCTTTCACCTTCGTAGCACCTCAAAAATTTTTCTCCAAGATGTCCCATGCTTCCTTTAATGAGTCTACACTAACAACTTTCTCGAAGTTTTATGAAACAATGCATTGATGGATTATAAAGAGAGTGTTATAATATTTCTTCTTCAAATATTTATGTGCATCATTTTGTTCATCCAATGCATTGTCATTGAAATTCTGTTCTTCCCTTGACAAATGTTAGACATAATTTATGGGACAATGTGTAGAACATGCTTATATCATATTGTCAGAATGCAAAATATAGTAAATAAATCATAAAGCAATAAAGAACACAAAGGATTATTAACCCAGTTCAGTGCAATGTCACATGCGTCTAGAGAGCTTCTAACCCGAGAAAGGAAATCCACTCTCAATAGTATTAGTACAAAGTGTCTTAGATGAACAACCCCTGTTCAATGTCTCTCTTCCTTATACTACCAGTGTCTTTCTATCTTGGACCCTCTAAATATAAGAACCCCTTCTCACTTTCTCTTAATCACTACTCTAGTGATCAATACACAAAACAAAATTAAAGTTTGTTGAATTATAACTCAATTAACAAAACAACCTATATGCCTTTAATAGGAAACTTAGGCTCTATAGAGGTACACAATTAACAACAAGAACAAAGAGTCAAGGAACAAACTCTAACACACTAGATCATCAATACTTGTGTGTCTTCTCTTTGTTAGGAATGAGTCTTATTTTATAGCAAACCATCTGCTGGCCTGGCCATTTGATTTAAAAACAAACAAATTTGATTTGATGCAAATTTCATTTGTTTATTCATTAATGTCTACCAAGATATTTGATCTCATTCAATTTGATTTAGTCTTGGACAATATTTTTAGCCAATCTTCTCAATAAAAATATTTCTAAAAGATACAACTTCTTAAATGACAAATCTTCTTGGAATCAACCAAAATCACACACTGAGTTACTCATAAACCCTGACTACAGATTGAGGTCATGTGTTGTATACATGCTAGAATATTTTGTCCCACATGATGCCTTTTCATTAATAACATCTTGTATTTCCCTTGTTGTTTTACCTAAAGCAGCCAATCAAAGAAACAAAGATCTTCCCCTTTGGCAAATTTTGGCTAAAACAACTACAAGATATGCAAGAGTAAATCTTAAAAAAAAAATTATTGAGCACAAAGTAGCACACCACATCAGCACAACAACAGAAGCAACAAACAAATTAGATAACATGTAAGGTAGTTTCTACACCTCAAGAGATCACAAATCAAACACCAAACAAGAGCTCAGATCATACCACACAGACAGCCACACAAGCATACATGCACGCACACAACATACTTTGCTCCCCTCATTTGCCACAATTTGGAAAAGGTTTGAAAATAAATACTAGAGCATCAATCACAAGCTTGAAACACAACTGATTCCCAAATCTGGAATAACTAGAATCATTATTATAGTGCATCGATATTGTTAAAGGATCATTATAGAACCAGAAACAAAAAAAAATATAACATGTCCATATACAAGTGCCAAAAACAAATTTGATCAAACCATAAAATGATGTAATCAACAACAACCAACCACAACTTAAGCCAAAAGACTTCAGTATCCAGAGCTTTCCTCATCTTCCTCAATTGTAGTTTCTTCATCTTTTTCACTGTCAGCTTCTCCCTCTGCCTCAACATCCTTATCCTTGGTCAGCATCTTAATCAAATTATCCATATTTTTCTTCCTAATGGTACTTGCAATAATTGTTTCTTGAAGAGCCTTTAAAACTTTCATAAGCTCAAGTAACACATCCTTTATAATAAATACGGATAAAGAAGGAGAACTCCCAACAACATATTGTTCTTGGGTCTTTGACACCATAATGTCTAGAACACGTGTTCCGACAAAAAACTTATAATCAAGAGTTAGTGGCCATGCCTTTTTGTTTGGAGCTTCTTCTAGATGTACAATCTCTGAATGTTGATTCAAAAAACTTTCAGTTAATAAACAAGGAAATGTTATGGGTATCTTCACAAAAAAGGTGTCAACATGCTTCATAATTTGCTTAAACACATAATCTCCAAAATTTAACTTTTCTTTGGGTCTTATTTGGAAGATAAGTTTGGCCAAGGTAATGGTTATACCAGAACTATGATTTTTAGGTGCCCAATTTGCTACACCAATCCTATTCAAAACAACATACTTCACACTTAATCTTCCACTAGAGAGTATACATTTCTTGGGCCATTGCTTCACTTATCCACCAGTTATTTCCTTATCAGTCTTGTCAATAGAGGGAACCCTTTTAGACATTGTTGACATGCTTCTACACAAATAGTCATTAATGATCGAAGGTGAAAATTCACACACTTCCCTATAACATACACCTTCATTTGCTCCTTGCTTCCTTCAACATTACACTCAGAAGATATGTTAACAATAAACTC